CACGAGGCCCGGCGGGGTCTCCGCTGGCGAGCAGAAGCGGCGGCGGAGCTGTGCGCCGCTCGGGACGGGACGAGCCTGGCCAGAGCAGCGGGGCTCAGCTGCATTTTCCCCTGCCTGCACTGGTCAGTCCCAAGCGGCATATGGCTCTGCTGCTGCTTCTGCTGGCTGGTGCCGACCTGGCTGGCCTCCTCCCATCCCCAGCAGCATGTGGGAAGCCATCATGGGGTGGCCTTGGCAGGTGGGGTCCTGGCGTGACCTCTGTGGGGTGAGGCGGCAGGAGCTGGTGTCTGCTGGACCCCGCACTTCGGGCTCGCAGCTCTGAGGCCTCCAGGGCTGCGTGCGCGGGCGGCTGGGCACCACAGTGAGCAGGGCTGTGTGGGCAGGCGAGTGAGGGGCTGCAGTGCAGTGGCCGCCTCGCTCCAGCCCCCATCAGGCAGCGCCAGCTTGTGGGGCTGCGCTGTTCGGGGATGGAGATGTGGAGCTATTTATTTATCCCTTTCAGTCTCTGGGACAGTAGCTGGCTGGATGCAGAATGGGTCCCTCCTGCCCCTGCCCACCAGCAACTACCATGAACCTTGCAGTAACAGGCAGGTGCAGTAGTGCTACAGGACAAGAGGGTGTTTGAATATGGCTCACCGGCCCACTGGGTGATAAAAAGTTCACAATCCGGCCCCACATTCAAAAAGGTTGGACACCCCTGGCCTAGAACTATTTACAGCAGAAATAGGGTAGAATTGGATTCAGCGGGTTCTGAAGAAGGATCTTTTCATTTGACCCACTTTCTCTTCATTTTAATTGCAATACAAAGGAACCATGACGACCTCAGGAAAGGAAAACTTCCGACTGAAGAGCTACAAGAACAAATCATTAAATCCTGATGAGATGCGTCGCAGGCGGGAAGAAGAGGGACTTCAGCTACGGAAGCAGAAACGAGAGGAACAGGTACGTTAGAATGCTTCTCAGGAACTGTAGTCAGGCCTCAAAAGAAGTTTTTCTTGCAAAGATCTCTTCCCCCCTACCGTCCTTTTCATCTTTCCATTATGTTTTATCCCTGTCCCGTGCAATTCAAGCCTGTCAGTGGTTGCAAAACACATTTCCTTAAGAGAAAACAGATTGTCCTCATGCCTGGGTCATTCTTCAGTCCTATCTCTGAGGATTCAACCTATGTTGAATGGCAAGTTCAATGTGTTGTGTTCTTCAAATGAATAAGTATCAAGAGAGATGCTTGAGAAGAAACCAAGTGGACCGTTAATTTCCTATTGTTATGTCGCTCGCTCGCTCGCTCTTTTTTATTGTGAAAGGTTGGTCTGTTCTGGAGCTGAAAGGGAGAGAGTAGCTGAAAAGTAGGGAGACACAGAACTATTTATTAACAGGGAGCTAAGTAGCACTAGAGGTCTGTATTTGGGAGCTTACTTGTATATATTGGAATATGCAGGATTTATGTTTGATTCCAGATGAAACTGTCGGGGGGGGGAATCTTTTTCACACTAGGTTTTAAGTCTTTCAAATCTAAATTGGGGACTGAGGGGAGCATGCTGGAATTGTAAGTTTGGATTAAGTCACTGACCTGTCAGTTCTTCCTTTGGTGGTTTCAATGCCAGAGGCTTCAGAGAACTGTTTATGCAAAGGAGTATTTGGGGGATGAGAATCAAAACCAGGGTTCCTGGTTATCATTGTTTTAAAAATCCAAAATTCTTGAATTAAACCCCCCAAATCCTCATTTTTCCATGATTAAATGAAATGCCACTATATATAACCTCATTTTTCCATGATTAAAATGAAATGTCAATGTATATGTGTATAGGTATTAGTTAACCACAATGTTTTATTGACATATGTGCAATTTTAAAGTAGTTTGGAAACTGTTTTATTGATATATTTACCATTTTAAAGCAGTTTGGAAGCCCACCAGTGCCTCAATCAGTATAATGAAATAAATTCTAAATACCTATAAATTTTGGCATTTTAGTTTGGGATTTTTATCATGGAAAATCAGAGCTCCCCCTGCCTCCTTCTCTCACCAGGACACAGGTCCAGCTGCTGCTGTCCCCCCAGCTGCTTTGTGGTGCTGAGCAACCCTGAGATATGCCCATCCCCTTCTCATACCATTGCCCCTCACTCCCAGCCATGGCCCCTGCAACCATGCCGGTGCCCCTAACTTTCAACCTGCAGCCTCCCCAGACCTGACAGTGCCCCATATTCATGACTCACAGCTCCCCCCCACCCCGAGGGGGCCCCCAGCTGCCCCCTGCCCTATCCAGCCCCTCATGGACTCACAGGATGGTCTATGGGGACATGGCGGGGATGGCCTCCAGCATGAGGAGAATGCAGTGCACCTCATGCAGAAGCACAGGCAGCAGCTAGGGCACTACGCTGCCCCGCACTGTTGGCTGGGGTTGGGGCTGCGATACAGCTGGGAGCACCAGCACTGCAACACATGCACACATCCCCCAGGACAGCACTTGCCAGGGCTGCTCCCACCACCCTGCCTGGCTATATGCCAGCTGTGCATGTGCACATACACACACATGTCACCCCCTGCTTCCAACCACCCTCCCCCACTCCCTCCAGCCCTAAGCAGCTCCTTGCAGGCTGGAACACTGCCAACATGCAACGGGAAACCTGTGGTTTCCCACGTTTTTTTCCTTGAAAAGGGAACATCTGGGTTTTTCCTTGACAAATGGATAACCCAGATCCCTGATCATAACATACCTGGGCTGCAGCATGAACAGTGATCAACTCTGTTTTAAACATTACTAAAGATGATGTTAAATCAGATAATTAATGCATTCCTTTTAAAAACATAACCCCAGTCTTTGATTGTGACCTTCTTAGGGACTTACTCCACAGACTCACTAAATGCAGTGTGTGGTATTTTCCCCCCCCTTTTTTTTTCCTGACTAGGTTGACCACTGAATTTAGTTCATGGCCTCTTGTTCTAGCATTATGGAATATTGGGTACTACAAATGTGTAGTTATGTTAGCACATATTGCTGTAATTGATAATTTCTCAGTTCTGTTATGAATCTTTTGGAAAATGGAGTTTTTAATTGGACAGTAAAACTCTTAGTCTTCAACTAAGAACATTCTAATGAAAAATAAAATTGTGTGGTGTTCTTTTTAAAACCCAAGTACACATCTTTTTTAAATGTCAAGGCTTTTTCCCATTTTTTTTGACACAGGGATGTGTAAATAAGCAAAAAAATAAATTTCTCATCTCTGAATCATTTTGCTTTTTGAGAATGTTCCTTTTTTGCTTAATTTTAGTGTGATATTTTTAGATAAATTACAATTTCTTGAGTTAATGCCTTAGATAATTAAGATAAAACAAAACCTAAATTGCTCTTTAATTTTTCTTCTAGCATTTGAATTTTTCTGGTCAGTTTCACATTCCAGTTTCTCTGTTATCACCATGATGCTGTTAAATGTTCCAGTACCAACAGGGATTTATTTAATCTTAATCATAATGTGCTTAAATTTCCTGAGTAGGTGTAGTAGTAGGCGCGCCAGCTGGAGGAGCTCCAGGCCACAGTCCAGAGACTGCGTGCCATCAGGGACTGCGAGCAGGAGATAGACTCCTACTGCCAGGCCCTTCTCCCCCGGGAGGCAGAGGGTAGACCACAGTCCCCCTCCACGCCAAAGGAGGACTTTGGGACCTCCTGCTGTGTCCAGCCAGGGGCATGGACCACGGTGGTCAAGGGCCCTAAGGCCCACCGCACCAGGGCCCCTACCCCACCAGAACTGAGCAACAGGTACACACCTCTTGCTGCCCCAGCAGAGCCTGCTGAGTTGCCGG